CAAATGTAAGGGCTCAACACTACCAATGATGACCGTTGTAAAGAGTGTTTAACAGAATGTTCCTCTGTCAACAGCAACATGAGAAAAGCTTGCGAAAATTTGAATCAGTTCTCAGTCCTTCTGATTTTTCTGCACTGCTTGGAGACAGGGACCCAACTGAAGGTCAACTAGTGTGCAAGAACAATCTGGTGCCATCTATCAACGAAATGATAGCTGCGGGAGTTTCGAATCACGTAGATGGAGAGCACAGACGCGCAAAGGCATAGTATGGCTAGTTCATCTAATTTTCTTTTGAGGACTCAGTTACGGAGCCTCCCCCCTGAGCCAACACCGCACGTAGCAAGACAATTTTCAGGTTGACCTGCAAGTACTTAGGAGATTTTTTGTGGAGGCTGTAAAAGTACCGAAAATCATACCGCCTTATCCAGGCATACTGTTCGGATGGCAGTCAGTCAGCCGGTCAAATGCGAGCATGTGCACATGTACACCAACTATGGTTCACCAATGATCGATTTGTGAAATGCATGCAGCATCTGAGAATGACTTTCATCTTTTCTCGCGAGGAATCCTCTGCATTAGTAGTTCGAGCACGTGCAAAATGAACTAATGATGGTGGGCATTAAATTTTCATTTCCGACTCCATCGATCGATCAAGTAAGCCAATTCAATGACGAAACGAAACTGCAAATCCGACCGAAGCATTTGTGCCAATGATCTTAATGTGGCCATTAATATCTCGTAGGATTCTAGTGGCGATTTCTTGAAAGAACCTTTAAGACCTTTTGCGCTAATATGCCCATACTTTCATCAACGATGATGGAATATGGTTAACAGTTATCAAAATCATATGTACTTGTTTATCTTTTCATTGTGCCCTCTGGTCCTCTGTACTTAAAAAAGGCGAATTCAACACATTCCTTGTATTAAATTGCCTCATTTCGTCAGCTAAATTACCTATCCAAAATTAATTACTTAATTTTCGAATTTAACCATGGGGCAAGAATACGGCTTATATGATCGTAATGCTTGGATTTTTTATATTATGTTTACAAACAGCTTGAAAGTTTGGCATGTCATCATTTCGCTTGAAAG